GCACTCAGATGTTAAGAGCTCATGCATATGGGTGTCTGGACCTGTACAGTGTAAAATTTGGGTGTATCCCCCCACCTAGGAGCCACAGATGCTGCATGTGGACTTTATACAGTTATACGGCTGTAGTTGCATGTACACATGCAAGGATATGGATGTACAACCCTGGACTTGGGCTATCTGTGTCTAGGGGCATATGTCCTTATGCATGCACATGTTTACCAAGTACTGGCGTATACCTATGTAAGGCTTCATACAGCTATTGCTTTCTATGGGCAGCTATACTCAGCACCTGTGGCTCCCAGGTGGGGAAATACGCCCAAATGTTATCTTATACATCCAAAGGAGCCTAAGTGCATGAGATCTAAAGCTGACTTCTAGGCTGGTATGAAAGACCCCAATAAATGAAGCTCTGTAATTCATAAATTGTAAAAGTATTTTTTTTTTCAATATGAGCATTGTAAGCTCTGCGGATTGAACTGGTATCAAGCAGAAAAATAACATAAAAGAAAATTGGGATGCCCCACAAGGATATATTCCCAAAATAGGGAAAATCTCAAATATTACTAATGATTGGCCGGCTCACCAAATCCTACGGTGGTGTCCTCAGGACCAAAAAGGCATGCAGTAAAAAAGGGGGGAAACCTGGGGGGAGGGGGGGGGGGTGACCTACTGGAGCAGAAGTCCTAATGAGAACAGGCAGTGGCTAGAAAAATAGTGTTTATTAACAAAATTAAACACAATTGAAAAAACAGGCGACCCTTCACTTAACACAGAGACAAAATTAAATGAAGAAGCCCACGTGACCTGGTGGGTGAAACGTGTTGACGTCACAGCCTAGTGACGCCCACGCTCCCCCCTCAACCCCCCCTGGTTTCCCCCCTTTTTTTACTGCTTGAATTGGTATCAGCCCCTTGTGTGTTAGAGCTCAGACCGGGAGATGGAGAAGCAGCATAAGAAACCAGTCAGTTGAGCTACCCATGAACATGCTGAGTGAAGGAGAAAGCCGAGTGACAGATAAATTCATCAGTCTGCTCCTTCTCCTTTCACTGTCCACTCACTGGCTGGGGAAGTGGTAAGATCTGTCAGATAGGGCTTTGCTATGTGAATCTCAGGACCAATGCAAATCCTTTGGCAGCTTCCTTATGTGTATTCTGTACTTAGCTATTTTGCTTTAAGCAGAACTCTGATCAGATATGAACGATACAAATGAATGCAGTCCTGTATTAAAGCGCAAGTAAACTCTGTATTTAAACTTCTACCTACAGGTAAGCTTACAACCAGGCTTACCTGTAGGTACAATGAAATATCTCCTAAACATGCGCCGTTTAGGAGATATTCACTTCGGCAGTAGCCAATGACATCGCCCATGTATGCGCAGTGTCTCTCTGTATTCAGGGCACACATTATGCCATGCCATGCAATGCATGGGAGTGACGTCATTGTGGGCCCAGTCATTCAAACTGCAGGAGTCCGCAAACCTGGAAGGAAGACCGAGTGAAGATGGAAGTCCCAGCAGCAGTGACAGGGCACCGCTGGAGGGCTTCGTTTGAAAGGTAAGTATGTCATAATGTACAAGTATGTGGTGCATATTAGCACCTTATGGCAAAAACCTGCAGGGGACCCACATTTTTTTTTTTGGCAGTTACTACCCCATTAAATATTACATCCTTAAAATGTTACTAAACCCAGTACAGTACAATCAGTCTGTATATGCAGTAAAGCATGCGTGTTACACTCACTGTAGAACTTAAGGGGTTAATCCTCTGCATTGTGTAAAAAGGCTGTTTAATTCTGTCTTCTCTGATCCTCCCCTCAGGTAGTCACTCTGCTCATTCTCAGTTCAGTGTGTATTGCTAGGGAGTTTTTTTTCTTTCTTTGGGAGGGTGCATGTGATCAGTACAGGGCCAATCAACACTGTCCAGACAGAGGGTCAGGTGTTATGCAGTCTCATAGGACAGTCATGGGAGAATGAAAACTCCTCCTACAAGATTAACCAGTGCTTACCTGGACACTGATAGATATCACAAGACTGCTATATATTGCTGAGGAGAAAAGATATTAAGTAGTTTATATTTACTACAATAATTGCATTTCCATGTAATGTGTACTGTGGGAGATGGGATATAGTAAATGCAGGGTTATGGGTTTAGTAACACTTTAAACTTAGTTTTTCAAATGCAAGAAATGTAAGTACCTGGACTTGACTTGCAGTCCCTGTACAGCAGAGCACAGTTCGGGGTAAGGAGAAGCAGCACAAGAGACCAACCAGTTGTGCTGCATTGCAAGCAGGAAGCTGATGGAGGGGGAAGACTGACAGAGAGACGAGCTCTTCAGCGGGCTGCTTCTACTTTCACTGTCCAATTACAGGATAAGGGGGAGGAAGAGTCCTGTAAATATTACTGCAGTGGAGAAAAGTGAGGTCTCCTCCCCTGTCATGCAGGGCCATGTGGTGTGGCAGAGCATTGTAAACCTCAGGTGTGGATGTTCACATATAGAAATCCTTTGGCACGCAAAAAGAAGAATGTGGAAGAGGGTGCTATGATAGTAGTCATGCTGGGTTGGAACAAAAAATAGTATAAGACACACTATACTACTGACCATTTCTGGAGAAAGTGCAGCCAGAATTCTGATTGGTTGATCTTCCCCTTCTGCAGAGATCACTCATCCACACGCCCAGGTTTCTGATGATATGAGCAGCACTGAAGAAAGCCTGGAGTAGCACTTTCTCCAGGAAAGGTATTTTACCATTATATTACTTTCTATGGCTGTACAGAACAAAGTGATGATGAAGGGGCCAATGGAGGAACCACGGTGTCTGGAGGGGGACCAGGTACCAGACACATTCAGGAGGGTCGGATATCAGCTGGGCCCCTTTTCTCTTCAAGGGAGCAAAGATTAAGCATAGCACCTGCCTGAAAGGTAAGTATTCATCTTCTTATACAGGCTGCTTTTAGTTTTATTTTGGAGAGTTGACAATGGGGTCACTTTATGAAAAGAAGAAAAAGGAAAGGAAAAAGCAATAACTAAAAACAAACTAACCCCTTCTGTCTGAGGCCTGCCCTACAGATAGCCACAGTTCGTTTTAGCTCTTCTAATAAAGATTGTTCTTAAAGCTCTGAGTTATGTCTTATTTCTTGGCCAGCAGTAGAGAAAGTTCAGGGATACGTTTTGGGTGGTAATTTTATTGAAATATGTATGTATGTATGTAATTATTTTTCTTCTTTATTGAGCTTTCTGGCTTTCTATAATCACTATTTTAAGGTACGTAATCCCTTTTGACTCTGACAAGGATGGTGTGTCCCGAAATAGACGTTTTTTACAAGAGAATAATGTAATTCCAGGATTCAGTTGGCCAAGCAGAAATTTCCAAAAGACCAATAAGTCTAAATTACACTTTTGATTTATATAAAAGAAGGCTCACAAAGATGTGCATTTAGAATTTTTCCAAAGTTTGAGCCATCGCTCCCACTTTCCATGACCAAAGGGGAAGAACCTGCACATAGGAGAGATGGGAAAGAAGCAGCCAAAGCCAAGGCTAACCTCCTTTATCCCACCACACCAGTTATAGGTGATGTCAGCCCCCCTTTTATAGCTGTGTTCAGACATTTTTCCTTTTATGCGTCAGGCTTGGAGCAGCGCCAGGTTTAAGGTGGTTGGCCTGAAAAAGTTAAGGTCTGAGTGTGGAATATTCAAAGTGAATGTAGTCCTTTTGGAAAGGTAATATTTTTTACAGCACCAGCAGTCTTCAAAATGTGTTAGCAAAGGCTATAGAATCTTATTATATGGGCAGCCTGTCTTTTGTCAGAGGAAGGCTTAATGTGGAAAGTGAGGTGGTGGAAGATTTTATTGCCTGTTACCAGTGCCAGTAGGCTTCCAGGTGCAAACAGACATTTGTAACTTAAATGCACGGACGTACTTGGTTCAATAAAAGTAAAAGGTATCCCACCTTGTGTAAGCCACAGGTTCTTACTTGTACTTCTAGACCAGTGCTGATGTTTTCTCTTCCAGTGGGTTACTACTTAGAGGTATGGGACTGCTTCTGATTCCTAAAGTGCATTCATCACAGTGCTTTTAATTTGCAATAAATTAAATTAGAACTCCAACCAACTTCCTTTTTTTTTTTTTTTTTTTTAGTTTGGATAGAGTAGGGTAGGGTTAGAACCTCTGTTATGGATTTTATTGCTATATTGGAGGCATTCACCTCAACTTCCTGTCCCAAATACACAACAGAGAGTGAGAAGAACTCCCCCACCAAAGTTAAAATCAACTGTTTACATGTTTCATAGTTGAAAATGTATCAAAATATCACAAGCTACACTAATAATTATATACACTAATTAATACCAAAGCCATATATAATTCCTTTTTTAAAGTGCAGATAAAAAAACTCAGTGTGCACTAAACTTTCTCTTTTTTGGTTTGTTTTTTTTGGCAATAATACAGAATTTACATACAGTTTCAAAAATACATTGAAACATACCTATACCATTCCTAGCAGTCAAGACTTATAGGAGCCATGGTAGCCAACTCAACAGTTCAGATCAGAGGATTATGGAGAATCCCACTCGGCATTGACTGTTATCCAGCATATTGATAGCTGTAAATAATGTAGCTAGCAGTGTAGTATTGTCAGAGAGCCTATAGCACATGAAAGAATGCTCATGGATTGTGGAAAAAAAAACAATGGTAATAGGCATTAATAGGAAAATACCTTTTATTAAATAAAGGTCTACTGTGGTAACCTGAAAGTAAGGTATAGGGAAGAAAAATGTATCATATAAAGAAATTATAGGATAGGAAGGGCAGGGAGAAGAATAATAAAGAGGTTAAAGGGTCAAGGTGGTAGGGGGAAGGGAGAGGCAGAGGAGAAGGGGCATGTGGTTCCATTGGGGGCATACATTAGGACATTCCATTACCATTTGCCATGCTGAAAGTATCTCCTTCTCCTCCAGTGACCAGGTGGACCATCCGACCAGCCCTTATCTGGCCAGGTAGAGATGTATTTTGGAAGACACTTTGGGGGAGATTTACTAAATCTGCATGCAACATTTGTTGCAGCTCTACATAGAAACCAATCAGCTTCCAGGTTTTACTGCTGAAATATTGGGGGATATTTAATAAAACTGGAGCATGCAAAATCTGGTGTAGGTCTGCATAGAAACCAGTCAGCTTCCAGGTTTTATTACCAAAGCTTAATAGAAGAAGCTGAAGTTAGAAGCTGATTGGTTACCATGCACAGCTGCCCCAGATTCTGAGTGCTCCAGTTTTAGTAAATCTCTCCCATTGCATTCTGACAGCGGAACTCTCCATTGTGAGAATACTGATCAGTGGCTGTAGTCACTTTTGTAGAAAAGTTTTTCAACAAACCCGTTAAAAAGAAGCTGATCGTTAGATCAACTTCTGTCAAGCAGACATCTCAAAACTTGGTTGGTCCCTGCTGAACTGGACAAATTTCAGTCCAGTTTAATTTCCACCTGAAAGTGCCAACACTGCCCATTAATAGACAAGTATGGTAATATAATAAAAAACAAACAGTTATCCTCACCTACGTGGATGAGAGGATCGGTCTGATGCTACATCTCTCCCCCACCTCCTAAACACCGAGAACTGAGCAATCGAAGATCATTAAGACCACTCAGTTCTCAGTCTTAGGTGAGCAAAGAGCCAACAACTTGTCAGTTGGGCTGTGGAGGTTTGGGAAGGGCTGGTTCAGGCTGTCAGTAGCACACGAAGAGGCTGATCCAGCTGCTGGTCCAGGTATCTGGGTGGATCCCGACCAGGGGCGGACTGACAACTCATGGGGCCCCTGGGCAATAGGGGATCATGGGGCCCCTGTGTCCTTGTCCAAACTCAAAAGAGCCTATGAAAGAGGTACCAGGGGCATCTCATGGGGCTCCCTACTGACCCTGGGCCCTCGGGCAATGCCCGAGTTTCCAAATGGTCAGTCCGCCCCTGATCCCGACATTAAAGTTGGGATCTCTCCAGAGCCTGGACCAGCTCATTGACATCAGCTGACAGCAGACTGTGGGCTGAAGACAGATCAAAGAAGTGCATACCTATGTGTACCCCTTTGACCCACAGGAGAAATAATGCCAAATAGCTGGTCCTACATTTCCTTTAAACATTGAATAACTTCTTCCTATGACTTTTTCAGTATTCAGTTTGAAAAAAGTGTTCCAACACCCACAATCTACATAATACTATTAGCAGAACTCAGCAAGATTTTCTTACATTACGCAATAAGATCATTTGATAAGATTTAAATGGCTGGGGCTTGTCTCCGATATCTGTACTATCAACATGAAATGCAAACATTCCTGCTAAGAAAAAGCCTATAGCAAGATAAGCAGGCTTTGTATGAATAGTCAACCCGCTGCTGCTTTGTCTGCCACTGCCGCTTTTGTTGTACATGCCGCTTCTCTGTTCGGATTCATATACGCGCTCACAGGAGGTGCTGCACCAGGACAAAGAAGCCCAAGTACTGTGGATAATGACACCAAAAAGTGTTTTCATTTGATAGCTTTATTTCACCTTAAAGACACTATCTTTTTTTCTCTAGAAACACATATTATCCGACTTCAACATTCTGATTGCTGTTAAAAGCAAACAAGCATTGCTTAGCCTTTAGGCTCATATTAAGAAATAAATAAAATACAGATTCTGTTACGTTTTACAGTTTATGGTGACTTATAAACAGTTGGTAGTTATGAACAACAAAAACCTTAGAGTGGACCTTTCAGCAACTTTACAAGTCTGCATGAATACGTTCTGACAAGTCATATTATAAGAGGCTTTGCCTAGTCAGAGATGATGTCCTTAGTCTGCTGCAGGCAGAATAAAAGAAAAGACGCATTCCCTTAGGGCTGCTTCCTACGGGCGCTGAGACCCGACCTCTGTGCTGAGCTGCATGTGCAACCACCTGGGAGCTGCATGCTGGAAACCTATAGAACTGGATGCAGATACTGCTTGAACACAGTTTCATATCAAAATTGGAAATGCCTGCAGGAGTGGTTACACGAATCTGAACACACAATATCTCGGCAGCTCAGTATGGAGAACAAGTTCTCAGGGTCCATTTGAATGAACCCTAACCCTAAGTTCACATCTGTGCGGGTGGTGCCGCTGCGGATCCACACGAAAATCCGTGCAGCCGCACCACCCGCACAGAGAAATGCGGACTCGCAGGCGGGTGCCATTAATTCTAATAGCACGCCGCCCGCACTGGAAAATGCAACCATCCTGGGAACCGACGTACCCGTGCAGGCTGTGTTTTCAAAAGAAGTGCAGGGACTTCTTCCCTGCGTGTCACGGGCCTGCACGGCTGCATATATATGAACCGGGGGTTAGTCTTCTTTCTCCAGTAATGGACAGCACAGTGGCTAAATGGTTAGCACGTCTGCCTGGCAGTACTAGGGCCATTGGTTCGAATCACAACCATGATACCACCTGCCTGGAGTTTGCATGTTCTCCCTGTGCCTGCATGGGTTTCCTCTTGTTTCCTCCCACATTCCAAAGACATGCTGCAAGGTTAATTGACTCTCATCTAAATTGGCCCTAGTATGTGTATGTATGAATGTGAGTTAGGGACCCTTTAGATTGTACGCTCCTTGAGGGTTAGGGACTGATGTAAATGTACAATATATATGTAAAGCGATGTGTAAATTTACAGCGCTGTATAAGTACCTGTAATAAATAGATAAATCAGACTGCAATATTTGTAAACGCAATAAAGACCTTAAAAAGCACCAGGGATTGCAAAATTATGTCGTCTGTGAGCCAGCATATCAGTCCTGGAAGAGATGACGATTCTGGTTGATGCCTGAACAAAAGATGGTGCCATCCTTCTGGGGACAAGAGGAACTGAAGGCATTATTAGGGAGAGTACTATGATTACTGCGAATATATCTGATACAGCATCCATTAATTTGGGGTCGCATGGTGGGCTATGTTGCTGGTTCTCTTTATTTGGGCCCAGTGGATGTCCAGAGGGCCCAGCTATAGTCTTCAATAAACCAGGGGGGAAATATAATGTGGTTAAAGCTGTTTATCTGCTGTGACTTCACAAGGGAAGATGCATTTGTAGACAGTTGGGGGTTGATTTATTAAAACTGGACAGTCAAAAATCTGGTGCATAGAAATTAATCAGCTTCCAGTTTTTTTTTGTCAAAGCTCAACTGAACAAGTTGAAAGGATAAGTTCACCTTTGGGAACATGGTACCACCCGATTTTAGGGTGGTACATGTAACATGTTCCTGATCATGCAGCTGATGCCCGCTGTCCCCTGCCTGCGACAGCAGTAGGGGGAGAAGTTCCCTGTACTAGCTGTCACTTTTCAAAAATAGTGCGGCTCCACCCACAGGGCCATGTCATTCATTCACCGTCATCTATGAATGAATGGACTACAAGTCCCAACAGCCTTAGCAGCTGTTGGCTTGTAGTCCTCAATGAACTATCATGACAGTGTGAGCGCTGTGGTAGTTCATTGAGTCTTCCTGTCAGCAAGTATCAGTTTGCCTGTATGGGATGTAAAAGCAAGCAGATACACTGACCGTGTTCAGGATTCCTGCATGGCATCAGCGATCTGCTGATCGCTGGTGCAATGCTTTACAGGCTTCTAACACAAAATTATTACATGCACATTTTTTTTTACATGTAAAAAAAAAAGTGCATTTATTTATTTTTTGTGGAAAGGTGAACTTATCCTTGAAGTTAGAAGCTGATTGGCTACCATGTACAGCTGCACCAGATTTTGCACTCTCCATTAACCCCAAGGAGTCTGATATCCCATGCTAGTGCAGACATTAAAAAGTGTCTTTCTGTGCTTATGGCAAATCCTTATCAATGTCAATCCAAAATAATGATTGGGGAAGAGAGGGAAGGGGGGGTGCAAAGCTGCTAACTTGCCTAGGGACCCATTCTGTCTTGACGGTCAAATCCATGTTTCTGAGCATGTTTCATGGTACACCCATATTTAGGGTGTAGTTTGAGGCATAGTCAGAGTCTGCAGCTCCGTCCATAATCGTCTACCCTTTCTTGCAGAAGTCTGGGGTGCTTTCTTTCCCCCACTGTCAAATTTGAAATCGGTAGCACAACGTCTCCTAATTGGGGCAATGGTGTGGTGATGTAGTCCATTGATCCTTCCTCCAGCCCTGTGACCATAGGTCCTTACCTTGATTGGGATCAGCAACTGCATAGAGTCTGCAGGAGCCAGAGCAATGCAGATGCAGTCCACTGATCATGGTTGCAGTCCACTGATCATGGTTGCAGTCCACTGATCATGGTTGCAGTCCACTGATCATGGTTGCAATCCATTCCAGGATACTATGCAGGAAAATAACTACACTTTATCATTACTATTATTATTATTACGATGGATGCATTTTCAGTTTTTTTGCAAAATGTGGACTTTATTCCATTTCTGCCTTAGTGGATATATACAGTATTTTTATTATATGTGTAACAGGCACAATAAATAGGGATTTCCTTCTGGAGGAGCAATTGTTGTGAATGGTTCTACATACTATATTTATTATTTATTTATTACAGACATCTATATAGTGACATCAATTAGGCAGCACTTTACATACTGTACATTCACATCAGTCCCTTACCTCAAGGAGCTTACAGTCTAAAGTGCTTATCTCACATTCATACATACACATACTAGGGCCGTCGTACTCAGGAACCTGTTCACCTACCAGCATCTCTTTGAAGTGTGAGAAGAGAATTTAAAGGATATGTCTATTTTTCATAATATGTCACATGTTACACCCATGTCCAAGGTTTAATATGTTACTGAAGCAGCAGACCCCCCCCCCCCCATATGCCTCCATTGTGACAGTGGGCTGGGGATCTTCTCCCTGCACCTGCTGTCACAATATAACAAAAAAGCATCCATGCAGGGTTCCGCCCACCCACCGCATCATTCATTTACAGCAGGGGTATTGAATTAAAATTCAAGGAGGTCCAGTCACTAAAATTTTCTTCTGGCCGAGGTACGAATAGGGAGCGCCCATCAGTGTGCCCCCTTACATTAGGTGTCGCTATCAAAGTGCAACTTTACATCATGTATTCCCATCACATCAGGTGTGCCCATCAGAGTGCCCCTTTACATCAGTTGTCCCCATCAGAGTGTCACTTTACATCAGGTATCCCCATCACATTGCCACCTTACATCAGGTATTCCTGTCCGAGTGCCCCCTTACACTTAATGTACCTCTTTCCATCATATTTCCCCATCAGAGTGCCCCTTTACATCATATTCCCCATCAGAGTGCCCCTTTCCATTACAAGTGCCCATCAGAGTGCCCCTTTTCACAGTATGTGCCCATTTGTGCCCCCTTAACATAAAATAAGGGGCATGCTGATGGACACAGTTTGTTAAGGGTCACTCTGATGGTCACATTTTATATTAAGGGGCACTCTGATGGATACATTTTATGTTAAGGGGCACTCTGATGGACACATTCTATGTTGTGCCCGTTACAGTGCCCCTTAACATTCATTCTGCCCATCAGAGTGCCCCTGTAAGACTACACCCTACCTTGAAGGCAGACAGGAGCTGTGCCGGGATCCTTGCTGGACGCTTGTGTACAGACAGGGAGCGGGAGCCGGAGAGACAGTGAGCTGAAAGGGGCGGGGCGCACACGTGATGCCATGTTGCCATGACGACCTCCCTGTTCAGCGGTGGATCTGTCATTGCAGGCTCGCGGTCCAGGTGGCAGCGCTGGTGGGGCTATTTGTGCACCGCGGCCCGCCATTTAGTGATTGCTGATTTACAGAGTTCTGTGAATGAGAGAACTACAACTACCATCAGCCATTGCGGCTGGAGGTTTGTGGTTTCAATAAGCTACCAGGGCACTGGTGAGCACTCTAGTAGTTCATTAATGCTGCCTGTCATTCAGTAACTGCCTGCCAGTACCAGGTACAAGCAGACAGCTACACTGATAGTCTGTTTGATCTGCTGCTCGTGGGTGCAATGCTTTACAGGCTCCTAATAAAATAAATAAATGCACATTTTTTTACTTGCATAAAGATCTTTCAAAAAGGTGAACTTATCCTTTAAAGGAAATCCACGCAAGCGTAGGAGGAGTATGCAAACCCCATGCAGATAGTGTCCTGGCCTAGAAATTGGTTCCATGTGTAATAGGTCAGCATTATACCAACATGGGAAATAATCACAGCATTTATAAGGAGACGGGAGTTTACATGGTGCTGTTCAATTTCTGAAGGTGTTTATATCTATTATAGAGAGAGACTGCTTTGCCACATTAATAACTTCAAGACATTACAAGTAGACACTTGTCACACAGACACTCCTAGGCTGATTTTGGGTGGAAGCCAGTTAACTTACCAGTATGCTTTTGAAATGTAACAGAAAAGCAGAGTATCGGGAAGAGAGGGGCACAGCTATAGAAGATACAATAAGCTGTATGAAGACAAGGGTTCCTGGTGGTAAATTGTTACACCATACATCAATATAGTTCACAATGGTCATTTGCATCCACAGGCCACCTCAATATGAATCATTGAGCACTGTGTATACTTCCCAAGCCTATGCAGACATAACGGAACACAATAGTTTTGTACAAAATATAATTTTTTTCACTGCCTGACCATCTAACACAACGCTGGCTTTTTATACACACATGGGATTATACCGAGGAATCTTTTTGGCATGATCCCAGTAAAAATCTCTGTATGCCGGGTATTTCCTGGTAATGTTAATTGTGGTAAAACAAGGCCAAGGTTACTCTTGCCAGCTCCTTTTAATGTTTGAAAATGAGTCTTTTGAAAACAATGGATAGTTTTATTAATGGTCTGACATGTATTTTAATGGAAGGACTATTGTGTTGGATCCCATTCCATTCCTGCAAACCTTAGCCGCACATTTAACACGCCACAAATAAGGAAAAGGCCAATGAGTGAGGTCATATGGAAGCTTTGGACGTGCCTGGAATTGAGCTCTTTTTATAATCATTCCCCTAAGTTTCGTACATATGACATAGGTGGGTCTGACCAAGCAGGTCCCAACTCCCATCAAAAGTTTATAGTGTTCCCAAGATCAATGTAAAGAATGGCAACCATGAAAACCTATCCTATCCTACCCTTTACGAGTACATGCTAAAATTGGCACACACTCTTGTGCTCACATAGTGCTGCTGAAATGCTTAACAGCCTTATAGACCTCCTCCAGTGGTGCCATAGCTGTGCAGATCCATGCAGGGGAGAATGGACAGACTCCCTTCTATTTATGTAAGTTCAATACTTTGGGGAACACTAAAGTTTGGGGCTGCATGTATGTTTTATTAGTAAATACAAATTTAACTTTAGTTAAATGGGCTTTCCCTGCTAACTGTTTTATACCTATGATCATTTCACACG